CAGTGTATGTTACTTCCTGTGTGCTTTTGCAGTGTACTTTACTTCCTGTGTGCTTTATTTTGCAGTGTACTTTACTTCCTGTGTGCTTTATTTTGCAGTGTATGTTACTTCCTGTGTATGTTATTTTGCAGTGTACTTTACTTCCTGTGTGCTTTATTTTGCAGTGTTCTTTACTTCCTGTGTGCTTTATTTTGCAGTGTACTTTACTTCCTGTGTGCTTTATTTTGCAGTGTACTTTACTTCCTGTGTGCTTTATTTTGCAGTGTACTTTACTTCCTGTGTGCTTTATTTTGCAGTGTACTTTACTTCCTGTGTGCTTTATTTTGCAGTGTATGTTACTTCCTGTGTATGTTATTTTGCAGTGTACTTTACTTCCTGTGTGCTTTATTTTGCAGTGTACTTTACTTCCTCTGTATGTTATTTTGCAGTGTACTTTACTTCCTGTGTACTTTATTTTGCAGTGTATTTTATTTTCTCATTAATTACATATTAATTAGTGTGAATGCAATTGCTGTAACATAGATCTGCCTGATAGGTAAGACTCAGTGTATCCACTGTTAGTGTTTCAGGATCAATGACTGTAAATTTAGCTAACATCAATAAAAAAAATCATTTTGCTGGTTTTCTGACTGTATCTCTTCAGGAGGGAGGTACATATGTTACACAAAATAAGTATATATATATATATATATATAAACAATAAAACAACCACCGATATAAACACAATTCACCTTGTCTACATAACTACAAAGGATTAAACATATTTGGCACAAAAACAGGTAAATATTAAACTGCCTTAATCAATGTAAATTAAACAGTAATAACTGAGACACAGATATTTCAGTGGTTCATACATCTACCAACATTTTGTGAATCTGTGTATCTCATAGTAACAGAAATGACTAATGAAAAAAATTACAAAAACAACTGAAACCAAACATTAGAAAGAATTCACTGAAATCAGATGTTAACCAATTATATCTTTTCCTGCTCATGGTCACAATTAATTAACACTCATTAACTGATCAATCAACATTATCAATTAACAATTATAAATTAACATTATCAGTTTATCAAATAACCAGTCATGGGTGAAATATATTAGTAACAAATGACAGAGTGAAGTCAGCAGCGACCTTTGACAAGGAGATTGTATCACTTTAACTTACCCTTGTTACACAACCTTTTATTGATTGGTAGGAGTGTCGCCATAACGGATGTCAAAGTGATTGTTAAAATACATGTGTGATTCGACAACAGTACAGAAAATACAAGTGATTACTGAACCAGAGGCACACTTTTTACACATACTAATTGATGATGTGAAGTTTGATTAAATATTAAGAATAAACATCTGATCAAGTTAGCATCAAGCTATGATGTAATTCCATTATACAAGACAAGATGTAGAAGTAGTATTTCCAGTCCGCAAAGAAAATATCATGAAGGTAGCTGTCAAACCCAAAATGAGGCTTGCTGAGTGTTTGGCATTAAAAATCTTACCCAAAAAGTTGAGATCTCACAGATAGTTTTCTTTTTCCCAGAAATGGTTAATGAGGAAAAGGCTGTTGTCTCCATCGTATCAAAGTTACGAATGTATAAGTTAATTTCTAAGGACAGGAATTTCTAAAAACCAGGAATTTCTAAAAACCAGGATATGTGGTTTGGAGGTTTTCTGACTTTGTACTTCTTTAAGTGTTACATGACCTATTTGATCCACTGTGACATCAAGAGAAGATAACGAAATGTCAGTCAACATACTGACAGCTTTCATCAGGTTGTCTTACTGGATAAAGTCTGATGAAATCACAGACAAGCAGCACATGTTCTGTAAAACAGTCATATCTTGTTATCTTGAATTTCAAGAAACTATGGGAAATATGTTGACTTATCTGAATTTTGACTGAAAGTGCCCAAATAAGGTTGACATTAACAATTTCCTGGTGTTGATTACTTCAGTGTGTACAGTATGTAATGATGTCTGTGAATATCAACCTCTATGTGTACAGTATGTAATGATGTTTGTGAATATCAACCTCTGTGTGTACAGTATGTAATGATGGTTTGTGAATATCAACCTCTGTGTGTACAGTATGTAATGATGTCTGTGAATATCAACCTCTATGTGTACAGTATGTAATGATGGTTTGTGAATATCAACCTCTGTGTGTACAGTATGTAATGATGTTTGTGAATATCAACCTCTATGTGTACAGTATGTAATGATGTCTGTGAATATCAACCTCTGTGTGTACAGTATGTAATGATGGTTTGTGAATATCAACCTCTGTGTGTACAGTATGTAATGATGTCTGTGAATATCAACCTCTGTGTGTACAGTATGTAATGATGGTTTGTGAATATCAACCTCTGTGTGTAAAGTATGTAATGATGTCTGTGAATATCAACCTCTATGTGTACAGTATGTAATGATGTCTGTGAATATCAACCTCTATGTGTACAGTATGTAATGATGGTTTGTGAATATCAACCTCTGTGTGTACAGTATGTAATGATGGTTTGTGAATATCAACCTCTGTGTGTACAGTATGTAATGATGTCTGTGAATATCAACCTCTGTGTGTACAGTATGTAATGATGTCTGTGAATATCAACCTCTATGTGTACAGTATGTAATGATGGTTTGTGAATATCAACCTCTGTGTGTACAGTATGTAATGATGGTTTGTGAATATCAACCTCTGTGTGTACAGTATGTAATGATGTCTGTGAATATCAACCTCTGTGTGTACAGTATGTAATGATGTCTGTGAATATCAACCTCTATGTGTACAGTATGTAATGATATTTGTGAATATCAACCTCTGTGTGTACAGTATGTAATGATGTCTGTGAATATCAACCTCTGTGTGTACAGTATGTAATGATGTCTGTGAATATCAACCTCTATGTGTACAGTATGTAATGATGTCTGTGAATATCAACCTCTATGTGTACAGTATGTAATGATGGTTTGTGAATATCAACCTCTGTGTGTACAGTATGTAATGATATTTGTGAATATCAACCTCTGTGTGTACAGTATGTAATGATGTCTGTGAATATCAACCTCTGTGTGTACAGTATGTAATGATGTCTGTGAATATCAACCTCTGTGTGTACAGTATGTAATGATGGTTTGTGAATATCAACCTCTGTGTGTACAGTATGTAATGATGGTCTGTGAATATCAACCTCTGTGTGTACAGTATGTAATGATGGTTTGTGAATATCAACCTCTGTGTGTACAGTATGTAATGATGGTCTGTGAATATCAACCTCTGTGTGTACAGTATGTAATGATGTCTGTGAATATCAACCTCTGTGTGTACAGTATGTAATGATGGTTTGTGAATATCAACCTCTGTGTGTACAGTATGTAATGATGGTCTGTGAATATCAACCTCTGTGTGTACAGTATGTAATGATGTCTGTGAATATCAACCTCTGTGTGTACAGTATGTAATGATGGTTTGTGAATATCAACCTCTGTGTGTACAGCTCTCTTCAGAGAAAATCTCCACAGTAAACTTCTAGTTGTATACAAATCAGGAATTTCTGCTTTAAAATCAATTAAATAAATACTCATTAAAAGTGGTTTGAATATAAAATCATTTTTTGTATAATAGACATGATAAAACATGACTGATTAACAAGATCAATGCAAACATTTCTAAATCAGTTTGTACATCACAAATTAGTGTGTGGAGGTACATTTTTAGCCCTAGCTTTACTGGAAAGACTTTGTTAAAACCCTTTTAAAAAAGTCTATTGGTAAAAGTCTATATCAAAGCGAAATGCTGAGTTTTCTGATTTCTTAGCTTGATATAGACATGTCTTTTACCTTTGGACTTATTTAAAAGACTTTAACAAATTCTTAATATATCAAAATATTGATCTGGCACCATTTCGAAATCCATCATTTAAAAAAACAATCACAAAAAAGTTCTCTGATGTTTCCCCAAGACTATTTATCATCCGTACAACACTTCTATCATAGCACTAAGATTTCATCAGTATTCTATAAAAGGTTTCTCTGAAAAAAGTGTTAGTGAATGTACCATATAATACGGAGTGTTTTCACTGTAGCTACAAACTGATACAAGCAGATTGATGTAAACAACTACAAAGTCCAAGACATAACAAATAGTGTCTTGTTCAAAACGAGAAGCAAAATTATAATAAAATATACTGATAGGTAAAAGTTGTAAAACATGTCCAGAAAAATGTAAGACAACATTTTTTTTTCATATATAATGGCTTCATATATCAAATCAAATAACTGTAACTTGATGTTTGGTCCATATATAGTAAAACATTACATTTAGATGAAATATTTCATCTGGATAAAATTTATTAAGAAATTGTATAAATATCTATATTTAAAAAAAAAACAAAAAAAAAAAAAAATTCAGATGTCCTTGGAATTACTGAAGAGTATCTGTAAGGGAGGTAACTCAATTCTAAATTGTGAAACGAAAGTAACTTTAGAATTCTTAATTTGTACACTCAATAAAAAATTGTCATTCTTCATCAAACAACAACTTCTGGAAAAATTCTCCTACACATTTTGTTGAAATTCAACACATATTCAAAATTAAGTCACCTGTAAATTAACCTAAATCAGTCAAATGCAATACCGTTGACTTATTGATAAGTCACCTGGATACGGTAAACGGTTTTAGGTCACACATGGGCACATACAAAAGTTCTACAGGCCTAAAACACAATACACTTGCAACTGTGTTGCTTACCAACAGAGCTAATCTACTGTTTAACAGTAGTTCTTAGTCACAACATGTTCAGTCAGGAGTACGAAACATGATGTCATGTACACTTAGACACGCCCCTAGTGTCGCAACATGTTCAGTCAGGAGTACGAAACATGATGTCATGTACACTTAGACACGCCCCTAGTGTTGCAACAATGTACAGTCAGGAGTACGATACATGATGTCATATACACTTAGACACACCCCCAGTGTGGCAACAATGTACAGTCAGGAGTATGATACATGATGTCGCATACACTCGGACATGCCCACAGCACTAGACTTGAGCAGAAACTTCATGTGATAGAAATCCAACACTGAACACTCGCGCACAGAGCCAATAGGAATGCTTGCAAATTTATGAATAAGCGCAGCTCGTTCTCGTTCCAGCCACATGGAAAGTTGGGGTTCAAGGTTACTTAAACGGTCAGCACCACTCTGCCACTTATCGCCTTTCGGACCCCAAAGTAAATATTCCACATAACTTCGTACCAGAGCTAACGAGTCCAAACGTCGCGTCTGCAGCATGCGTTCAATTGTAGCGATACAAGAGAAATGCTTTTCATAATCCTCATCACTGACGTTCACAAGTGTATCTGTAAAATAGCGTTCCAGCAGTTCACACACAGAATCCACATTTGAGGAGTCATGCAGCCGTTGATGAGGAAGAAAACCAATGATATCTCCGTGGCAGTGACTGCCGTTACTGACAATAAAGACATCCCTAAAATTGGCCTCACCCAGTGTGAAGCCTTGGTCCAGACAGTGAGATATAGCACTAAGTAACTGTAGCATGTAAAACAGCAGGGTTTCCAGCTCTGTGGAACTGTTACCAGGATCAGCACTAAAACGATCTTTTAAAATTGCTAACTTATGATTAAGATCACTATTCACATCGAACAGACCAATGGCTACGAAACACTTGGCCATATTTGATTGGTTGACTGGGTTTTGAAGGTTTTGTAGGAGTTGGCTGGTTTTGATGAAGTCCTCTGTGAGATAAGAGAATGGAATATTGTCGCTGAAGATGACCGTTGGTTTTAGCAGGCTTGAGTGCTGGACACTGGTCAGTTCAGGCTTTGTATGAAGGAGCTGAAAAAAAACATCCGAAATCAGATACAATGTTTATTGCAATAATGTAAATATTTGTTTCTAGAAAGTGAAAAAAGAAAATCTGACAAACAGCTATTTGTATACAGGAGTTAGTCAATAAAAAGACATTCAGTTAATATATATATGTTGATACTGCACAATATATAATTGTTCTCCCTCTATTAAATATCGATCAACTACACTACAGACAAAGTCTAAATCACAAAAAATTCAGTTACTATAAAATTTTGTTATAATATTTTGTTCAGAGCACAAGACAAAGCTAACTGAAATAAGAACAAAGGGCCATAACTCTGTATAGAGAATGAATGACTGATGATTGAAGTCTCTATATTTTGAGCTTCAGTGTTTAATTACTTACCATCAGTTGACAGGTTGTGGAAGTTGTTTTCAGTTTTGCATTGTAAACCACACATCTCTCTGATGTATGGATGGGTTTACCATAAATATCAAAATCCACCCACTTAATTGGCCCCGCACCAGTGATATTAAGATTGACGGTCTCTTTGGTAAACACTCTCTCATATTGCGTATAGATTTCGCGTAAAGTCTGTGAAATTTGAGATGTGAGTTGGTTGAGCATGTCCCGAACCTCAGCCTCATTTAAGGCTACTGCAATACTAGGTCGGTTCATGGCTACGTACGGCTGCTCAGAGCCAGTACTCTCAGTCTTTCTGCCAGGCCGTCGCCTTGGAATTGGTTTTGGTCGATTTAACGTACTTGATGCAGAAGATGATTCTGATTCTGAAGAAAATGCATTGTGGGATGCTGATGGAGAAACAGTTGATGGCTGAATGTCCCTCTCATTGAATGATGAAGACGTTTTAACAGTTAATTTATCTTTAGAATCTGTCCTGCATGTTTCCTTTACAGGTAAATCTTTAGCATAACCATTTATCTCCTCATAAATTGGTTGTGATGCTAATAATATACGTCTTTCCTCACTAATGTCTGCAGTATCAGGAAAATCCAGAGTTGTGTCCCTTGATTGTTGTAGAGTTGCGTCTCTTTGTAGGTCTGACGACCTGACAGGCTCCAGATAACCTTCGGTGGGTAATTGACAGCTACCAACAAAACTAAGTGATGGTTGGCTGGCCTTGGCGGAGATTGGGTCATACACATTACCATCTGGTGGGGGAGGAGGTGGGTCCTTTGGGACAATAGGCTCATACAGATTGTCCATGGATCCAAGGGGAGAGAACTGTGGCCATTCATCATACTTATCGTTAGTTGAACCTGAAGAAGTAGATCCGCCTGTAATGACAAGTTAAAGTTACACATAGACACTTTATATAATAATAAAACATGTTAATATACGATCCACTTGATCCATTCAGAAACCATCTATAAATAGATTAGTGATATTTTAATTGTCTTCAATTGTGATCAGCCAAGGCTTAATTAGTTCATCGTAGTGTCCTGACAAAGGGGCAGATTGTCTATTCAGATTGATTTTACCTTGTTGTTACCTAGGAATTCCTTACTACTAGACAGGTCTATACCAGTACAGATCTCTAAATATCTGAGAGAATTGTCTGTTACCTAGGAATTCCTTACCACTAGACAGGTCTATACCAGTACAGATCTCTAAATATCTGAGAGAATTGTCTGTTACCTAGGAATTCCTTACCACTAGACAGGTCTATACCAGTACAGATCTCTAAATATCTGAGAGAATTGTCTGTTACCTAGGAATTCCTTACCACTAGACAGGTCTATACCAGTACAGATCTCTAAATATCTGAGAGAATTGTCTGTTACACACCACTAGACAGGTCTATACCAGTACAGATCTCTAAATATCTGAGAGAATTGTCTGTTACCTAGGAATTCCTTACCACTAGACAGGTCTATACCAGTGCATATCTCTAAATCTCTTGACAGGTCTATACTAGTACAGATCTCTAAATCTCTGAGAGAATTGTTTGTTACCACAATCTGACTGACATTGAATCAGAGATGTTGGTGGTCCACTGGGATTATTATACTATAGACAATCTGACTGACATTGAATCAGAGATGTTGGTGACCACTGGGATTATTGTACTATAGACAATCTGACTGACATTGAATCAGAGATGTTGGTGGTCCACTGGGATTATTGTACTATAGACAATCTGACTGACATTGAATCAGAGATGTTGGTCGACTGGGATTATTGTACTATAGACAATCTGACTGACATTGAATCAGAGATGTTGGTGGTCCACTGGGATTATTGTACTATAGACAATCTGACATTGAGGGATTATTGTACTATAGACAATCTGACTGACATTGAATCAGAGATGTTGGTGGTCCACTGGGATTATTGTACTATAGACAATCTGACTGACATTGAATCAGAGATGTTGGTGGTCCACTGGGATTATTGTACTATAGACAATCTGACTGACATTGAATCAGAGATGTTGGGGTCCACTGGGATTATTGTACTATAGACAATCTGACTGACATTGAATCAGAGATGTTGGGGTCCACTGGGATTATTGTACTATAGACAATCTGACTGACATTGAATCAGAGATGTTGGTGGTCCACTGGGATTATTATACTATAGACAATCTGACTGACATTGAATCAGAGATGTTGGTGGTCCACTGGGATTATTGTACTATAGACAATCTGACTGACATTGAATCAGAGATGTTGGAGACCACTGGGATTATTGTACTATAGACAATCTGACTGACATTGAATCAGAGATGTTGGGGTCCACTGGGATTATTGTACTATAGACAATCTGACTGACATTGAATCAGAGATGTTGGTCGACTGGGATTATTGTACTATAGACAATCTGACTGACATTGAATCAGAGATGTTGGAGACCACTGGGATTATTGTACTATAGACAATCTGACTGACATTGAATCAGAGATGTTGGTCGACTGGGATTATTGTACTATAGACAATCTGACTGACATTGAATCAGAGATGTTGGGGTCCACTGGGATTATTGTACTATAGACAATCTGACTGACATTGAATCAGAGATGTTGGTCCACTGGGATTATTGTACTATAGACATTCTGTCTGACATTGAATCAGAGATGTTGGTCGACTGGGATTATTGTACTATAGACAATCTGACTGACATTGAATCAGAGATGTTGGAGACCACTGGGATTATTGTACTATAGACAATCTGACTGACATTGAATCAGAGATGTTGGGGTCCACTGGGATTATTGTACTATAGACAATCTGACTGACATTGAATCAGAGATGTTGGGGTCCACTGGGATTATTGAACTATAGACAATCTGACTGACATTGAATCAGAGATGTTGGGGTCCACTGAGATTATTGTACTATAGACAATCTGACATTGAATCAGAGATGTTGGTCCACTGGGATTATTGTACTATAGACAATCTGACTGACATTGAATCAGAGATGTTGGTGGTCCACTGGGATTATTATACTACAGACAATCTGACTGACATTGAATCAGAGATGTTGGTCGACTGGGATTATTGTACTATAGACAATCTGACTGACATTGAATCAGAGATGTTGGGGACCACTGGGATTATTGTACTAGAGACAATCTGACTGACATTGAATCAGAGATGTTGGTCGACTGGGATTATTGTACTATAGACAATCTGACTGACATTGAATCAGAGATGTTGGGGTCCACTGGGATTATTGTACTATAGACAATCTGACTGACATTGAATCAGAGATGTTGGGGTCCACTGGGATTATTGTACTATAGACAATCTGACTGACATTGAATCAGAGATGTTGGTGGTCCACTGGGATTATTATACTATAGACAATCTGACTGACATTGAATCAGAGATGTTGGTGGTCCACTGGGATTATTGTACTATAGACAATCTGACTGACATTGAATCAGAGATGTTGGAGACCACTGGGATTATTGTACTATAGACAATCTGACTGACATTGAATCAGAGATGTTGGGGTCGACTGGGATTATTGTACTATAGACAATCTGACTGACATTGAATCAGAGATGTTGGTCGACTGGGATTATTGTACTATAGACAATCTGACTGACATTGAATCAGAGATGTTGGAGACCACTGGGATTATTGTACTATAGACAATCTGACTGACATTGAATCAGAGATGTTGGTCGACTGGGATTATTGTACTATAGACAATCTGACTGACATTGAATCAGAGATGTTGGGGTCCACTGAGATTATTGTACTATAGACAATCTGACTGACATTGAATCAGAGATGTTGGTCGACTGGGATTATTGTACTATAGACAATCTGACTGACATTGAATCAGAGATGTTGGTCGACTGGGATTATTGTACTATAGACAATCTGACTGACATTGAATCAGAGATGTTGGTCGACTGGGATTATTGTACTATAGACAATCTGACTGACATTGAATCAGAGATGTTGGGGACCACTGGGATTATTGTACTATAGACAATCTGACTGACATTGAATCAGAGATGTTGGGGTCCACTGGGATTATTGTACTATAGACAATCTGACTGACATTGAATCAGAGATGTTGGGGACCACTGGGATTTTTGTACTATAGACAATCTGACTGACATTGAATCAGAGATGTTGGGGTCCACTGGGATTATTGTACTATAGACAATCTGACTGACATTGAATCAGAGATGTTGGTCGACTGGGATTATTGTACTATAGACAATCTGACTGACATTGAATCAGAGATGTTGGGGACCACTGGGATTATTATACTATAGACAATCTGACTGACATTGAATCAGAGATGTTGGGGTCCACTGGGATTATTATACTATAGACAATCTGACTGACATTGAATCAGAGATGTTGGGGTCCACTGGGATTATTGTACTATAGACAATCTGACTGACATTGAATCAGAGATGTTGGAGACCACTGGGATTATTGTACTATAGACAATCTGACTGACATTGAATCAGAGATGTTGGGGTCCACTGGGATTATTGTACTATAGACAATCTGACTGACATTGAATCAGAGATGTTGGGGTCCACTGGGATTATTGTACTATAGACAATCTGACTGACATTGAATCAGAGATGTTGGGGTCCACTGAGATTATTGTACTATAGACAATCTGACTGACATTGAATCAGAGATGTTGGTGGACCACTGGGATTATTGTACTATAGACAATCTGACTGACATTGAATCAGAGATGTTGGTGGTCCACTGGGATTATTGTACTATAGACAATCTGACTGACATTGAATCAGAGATGTTGGGGTCCACTGAGATTATTGTACTATAGACAATCTGACTGACATTGAATCACAGATGTTGGTGGTCCACTGGGATTATTATACTATAGACAATCTGACTGACATTGAATCAGAGATGTTGGGGACCACTGGGATTATTGTAGAATGTAGTCTGTTGCTATCTATAGATAGCCTGACTATGATAGATATAAACTTTGTAAGAGGTAGAGGTTCATTACCTGCAGTCAATTTTATTTTAATTTAACTTTCGTGAAAATCTTTCATGTCGACAAATCAAAGAAATATGTTGCAATGGTTACAGTTAACAAAGGAAGTGATGGTGTCCACTCACCAGACACAAAGCTACAGTCATCGCCGATTGTGATGGTATTCCTCCTTGACCGACTGACCACTTGGCTGGATGTCATGTCAGAAATCAGCTGGTAAACAGATCACATTATAGGTTAATCTCCATGGTAACAGTATTATATTTATGTTAGTCTCCATGGTAACAGTATTATATCTATGCTAGTCTCCATGGTAATAATGACAGTATTATATCTATGTTAATCTCCATGGTAACAATGACAGTATTATATCTATGTTAATCTCCATGGTAACAATGACAGTATTATATCTATGTTATTCTCCATGGTAACAATGACAGTATGATATATATGTTAATCTCCATGGTAACAATGACAATAAAGTCTTAAATTAGCAAATAAACAAGACATGGATCCCTTTGTGAACATGCTGAGATATATCATATATACAAATTCTGGAGAGATAAAAATTTTAATCTAGTAACCTATAACAACACCACTTGCTGCCCCATTTTTTTAAAATCTGTCACTTAGTACTATGTACTTGGTAAAAATCCAATAAACAACAGTCTATATATACATACCACTGGACCAGATATGTCACAGGCTTCCAGCTTCTTTGTTGGTCCGTCACTGGAGAGAGAATTCTCTGTAATAGATTTTGCTCGCTTCACTATAGATGGGGGCCTTGGGGGTGCCCTAGACTTCCTGTTTCCCAATTTACCAAGAAAACTTTTTCTGCTTTGTGCACGAGGAAGTTCAATTTTTTCAGCAGCAGGTATATCTTGAGACGGACTTACAGGTTGGTTATCACTCCTAATCTCTGTTACACTGGCAGACATTGCAGCTGGTATGACTGAAACTTCTGGTGAGGTCGGTGACACAGAAGGCTGAGAAGCAGACAAGGACATTTTTGTATCTATTGGTGGCCTCGGTCTAGGCTCCAGTGGAGGCTTCGTTTGATCTCCAAAGCCACGACATATCTTCATTTCTAATTCCTTTGTAAAGAGAGAGTTGCGATTTTCTGGTGCTTTAGCTGGTGCCTGTGGTCGGATTGGAGCTGCAGATCTTTTAGGACTTTTTGCACGCCTCCGAACTTTGACAGGTTTACCATCATTATTTTGAGTTTCTGAACCTCTTTCCTCTGGTCCTTCATGACTACTGATACTAGCAGATCTTTCCTTAACTGACTCATGACTCTCTGTTGATGAGGTCATCTGTTGCCTAGGAACAGTCTGAGTTGGTACAACAGGTTGTGGTGAGGCGGGGGGCTTAGCTTGACCCTGGGGTTGTGGAGTCGCAGGTGGAGGTTTAGCAGGCAAGTTGACTGGCTTGGGTCTAGTAGTTAATGGTGGGGGTTTTGTAGGTAAACTGGGAATCTCCTTATCTGATCCTTTTCTCTCTATCCCTTTCTCCAAAGCCTTGGAGTTACCTCCCCTATCTGATCCTTTCTTATCAATGCCTGATTCAGAATCTTTTCTCTCTGACATTTTCTTTCTGTCTGCTGTTTTGTCTGAGCCTTTTCTTTCCACTGTTTTCTTCTTGGAGTCTTCTTCCTGGACCCTTTCTAGAGACTTTGAAAGATCCTTTTTAGAGACCTTTGGGGATCCCTTGGGGGCTCTTGTCATTTCTGGTGACTGTTTGCCCTTTTGCCCATTGTCAGATGTAGTCATTATGAGGCTTGTCCTTGTTGGTTTGGCAGGTAAAACTTTCATTTTCATTACAGGGGAGGATCCTACACTCTCTGTTGCCGAGGGTGATGGAGGCCCTTCTGTTTTACTCCCCAGACTTTCTGTAGAACTTCCATTGGAGTTTGTGACAGAGGTCTGGGACTTCATTGTATTATCTACACCAGACTCCTGCTCAGAAGTACTGTCAATGGAGTCTCGCCCACGCCGTAATATGTTTCTGAAAAATGATGTTATACCCTTTTTACTGGAACGTTCTGTCTTGGATTTGCTTGCATCAACTACTTCTGTCTGAAAGTCAGACGTCCGTTTTGGGGAGAGTGGTTTCTCACCCTGTCCTTGGTCAAATATTGGTTTTCCAACAGGAACCATTTTAAAACTTGGTTCGGATAAATTCGGAACACTTTTTGATACTATGGGCTCAGGAGGTGGACCTGATGGAGGACGTGGAGCTGGTTTTTTACTTTTCTTTTTAGATAGATCTAACGTGGCAGCAAGTGAGGCTAATTTGGCCTCAAACTCTTTTGACTTGATGCTGCCTTTGGGGAATTTGGATTCCAGTTTTTCTGGCCCCTCTTCCCCCATTTCCACAACTTGCTGTAGTTCCTCCTTGGTGACCTCTGGTAAGAGTTCGTGACCTTCTATCCCTTTGAAGGACTCACTATCACTGTACTTAGCTAAAACATCGTTGAGAAGATCCACTAAGGCCATGCCCGCAGTCGATGATTCTAAATCAATGTCGGGGTTAAAGGACTCAAACAAATCCTCATCTGTTGTAAACACCTCATCCACGTCTTTTACCTCCTCATCAACTGCCTTGTTATCTGACAAAAGGTCGAAGTCTGACACACGTTTACTTTTTTGGGGTAATTCTGGTTTGATCCTTGATAAATCAGATGAGGAGTTGTTTCCTTCTCCATCATATTCTGATATCCTCTGAAGATGAATATTTGTTATATGTTTCGATTTTTCCTCGAACATGTTTTCTAACTTTTTCTTGTTTGTTTTGTTTCTCAGGGGAAATGTCCCATAACGTCGTGGTATGAGTTTATCACAGTCTCTAAGTGTGGCAAACCTGTCTGCCTTCCATAGTGTCTGAACATCCTCAAACTCCTTACTGGAGTTTCGTCTCACACTATCCACAGTCTTATTTAGAAGGTTACGATTATCACCATTCCATAATGTGTTCTCTAAAGCCAGGAGAAGGAATTCTTTCTCCTCCTCTGTAAAGGAAACCTCCTCACTTGAATCAGACTCGTTCAGAGCATCTTCTAGGTCAGAGGTCAAATTGTCCCATCCCCCATCGTCCCCAATCACAACCGGTTCATCTTGTAGAAAAGACACTTTAGATTTACTCAGCACCATTTTATTATCTGAGATACCTTCCTGCTTTACATCAGGCTTTCTAGATGACACATTTTCTGGTTCATGGTTGACAGATTTGTGTCGCGGTTCTGGTTTCTGGTCATCGATGACACACCAGTCAGCATCACTGATTGGCCAGTCATCTGCACTACTGTCCCGACGTAATTTTGATGATCCATCTACCACATTCTCTAATGTAGCATTAAAGGATGTTTTCATGAGAAGTGAACTCCGTTTGGCAGGCACAGGGGAACTTCTTGGTTGTGTATCTTCAATAATAGAGTGCTCTCCCCTTGGTCTCTGGCAATTGACACAGAGTTCCTTTTTCCAGGCATTCTGGGTAAATTCATAGCATGGATTTGACATGCCTTCTTTTCCCTGAATGACCATCTAGGTACAGCATAGTCTACAAAACAAAAAAACATTTGATTATTCCATAGTGTTTGTATTACAGTATCAGACATATCAATATAAATATCTTTTTTATGAATATAACATCAGTCTGGACGGCTGTAGGCTGGATGTCTACACCTAATTCACTGATCTGTCACACAACTTCATTCTGGGAGAGAGGCTGGATGTCTACACCTAACTCACTGATCTATCTACACAGCTTTATTCTGGGAGAGAGGCTGGATGTCTACACCTAACTCACTGATCTGTCACACAACTTTATTCTGGGAGAGAGGATGGATGTCTACACCTAACTCACTGATCTGTCACACAACTTTATTCTGGGAGAGAGGCTGGATGTCTACACCTAACTCACTGATCTGTCACACAACTTTATTCTGGGAGAGAGGATGGATGTCTACACCTAACTCACTGATCTATCTACACAGCTTTATTCTGGGAGAGAGGCTGGATGTCTACACCTAACTCACTGATCTGTCACACAACTTTATTCTGGGAGAGAGGCTGGATGTCTACACCTAACTCACTGATCTATCTACACAACTTTATTCTGGGAGAGAGGCTGGATGTATACACCTAACTCACTGACCTGTCACACAACTTTATTCTGGGAGAGAGGCTGGATGTCTACACCTAACTCACTGACTTGTCACACAACTTTATTCTGGGAGAGAGGCTGGATGTCTACACCTAACTCACTGATCTGTCACACAACTTTATGCTGGGAGAGAAGCTGGATGTCTACACCTAACTCACTGATCTGTCACACAGCTTTATTCTGGGAAAGAGGCTGGATGTCTACACCTAACTCACTGATCTGTCACACAACTTTATTCTGGGAGAGAAGCTGGATGTCTACACCTAACTCACTGATCTATCTACACAACTTTATTCTGAGAGAGAGGCTGGATGTCTACACCTAACTCACTGATCTATCACACAACTTTATTCTGGGAGAGAGGATGAATGTCTACACCTAACTCACTGATCTGTCACACAACTTTATTCTGGGAGAGAGGATGGATGTCTACACCTGACTCACTGATCTATCTACACAACTTTATTCTGGGAGAGAGGCTGGATGTCTACACCTAACTCACTGACCTGTCACACAACTTTATTCTGGGAGAGAGGCTGGATGTCTACACCTAACTCACTGACCTGTCACACAACTTTATTCTGGGAGAGAGGCTGGATGTCTATAACAGCTTACAGAAATTAAGCTCTCTTTGTCTGACACCTTGACTAAAAATTCCCATTTTTAAAAATTTGAATCAAACATTTTCTGTTACCAATTTTTTTAAAAAACAGTTGAGAAAAGTGAGCTGATCCACAATCTCAGGATACAGTCATGTGAGAAAAGTGAGGGGCTGTCTATACTATCAGTGACTAGAGAGAGTCAAATACAGAGATGAGGTAGAGAGGGGCTGTCTATACTATCAGTGACTTGAGAGAGTCAAATACAGAGATGAGGTAGAGAGGGGCCGTCTATACTATCAGTGACTTGAGAGAGTCAAATACAGAGATGAGGTAGAGAGGGGCCATCTATACTATCAGTGACTTGAGAGAGTCAAATACAGAGATGAGGTAGAGAGGGGCTGTCTATACTATCAGTGACTGGAGATATTGAGACACAGAGATGAGGTAGAGAGGGCCCCTCTATACTATCAGTGACTGGAGAGAATGAGATACAGAGATGGTGTGCAGAGGGGTCGTCTGTACTATCAGTGACTGAAGAGAGTGAGAGACAGAGATAAGTTAGAGAGGGGCTGTCTTTACTATCAGTGACTAGAGAGAGTCAAATACAGAGATGAGGTAGAGAGGGGCTGTCTATACTATCAGTGACTGGAGAGATTGAGACACAGAGATGAGGTAGAGAGGGGCCATCTATACTATCAGATCTGTTATTTAAATCTACTTTTTGCAGACAACCAACCCTCTCCAGGAAAGTGAGATAATCCAAACACTCCGATCAGGAACAATCAAGTGAGATTTATATGACTCTTCCCCTAAAAAGGTCAAATCTAAGTCAGGATTTGCCAAATGTCACATGTGATTGTACTCTAATTAGTACAATTATCTCATACCATTCAGGCCAAACCAGTTCACTTCCCTACATACCATATATATGTTGTAAACAGTACAACACCAGGCACCAAATAGTTATATTACATCCTACTGACTTGTAAGTGGAATTCCCGACTTAGTTCTGACATCTGGACGAACATTAGTTAATGCGTATATCATTCCCTCTCACATTATTTTCTGATTATGTTGAGAGGCACAATATGTCAGTTAGGGGAGCCCCATTTTTTCTGTCACACACCCTACATGTGTACAGGTCAGGAGCACCCTATTGTACACCCCTACATGTGTACAGGTTAGGAGCCCCATTACACCCCTACATGTGTACAGGTTAGGAGCCCCATTACACACCCTACATGTGTACAGGTTAGGAGCCCCATTACACACCCTACATGTGTACAGGTTAGGAGCCCCATTACCACCCTACATGTGTACAGGTTAGGAGCCCCATTACACACCCTACATGTGTACAGGTTAGGAGCCCCATTACACACCCTACATGTGTACAGGCTAGGAGCCCCATTACACACCCTACATGTGTACAGGTTAGGAGCCCCATTACCACCCTACATGTGTACAGGTTAGGAGCCCCATTACACACCCTACATGTGTACAGGTTAGGAGCCCCATTACACACCCTACATGTGTACAGGTCAGGAGCCCCATTACACACCCTACATGTGTACAGGTTAGGAGCCCCATTACACACCCTACATGTGTACGGGTTAGGAGCCCCTTTCCACAACCTACTTGTGTACAGGTCAGGAGCCCCATTACACATCCTACATGTGTACAGGTTAGGAGCCCCATTACACACCCTACATGTGTACAGGTCAGGAGCCCCATTACACACCCTACATGTGTACAGGTTAGGAGCCCCATTACACACCCTACATGTGTACAGGTTAGGAGCCCCATTACACACCCTACATGTGTACAGGTTAGGAGCCCCATTACCACCCTACATGTGTACAGGTTAGGAGCCCCATTACACACCCTACATGTGTACAGGTTAGGAGCCCCATTACACACCCTACATGTGTACAGGTTAGGAGCCCCATTACCACCCTACATGTTTACAGGTTAGGAGCCCCATTACCACCCTACATGTGCACAGGTTAGGAGCCCCATTACCACCCTACATGTGTACAGGTTAGGAGCCCCATTACACACCCTACATGTGTACAGGTTAGGAGCCCCATTACACACCCTACATGTGTACAGGTTAGGAGCCCATTACCACCCTACATGTGTACAGGTTAGGAGCCCCATTACCACCCTACATGTGTACAGGTTAGGAGCCCCATTACACACCCTACATGTGTACAGGTTAGGAGCCCCATTACACCCCCTACATGTGCACAGGTTAGGAGCCCCATTACACACCCTACATGTGTACAGGTTAGGAGCCCCATTACACCCCCTACATGTGTACAGGTTAGGAGCAGGTTTAGGAGCCCCATTACACCCCCTACATGTGCACAGGTTAGGAGCCCCATTACACCCCCTACATGTGTACAGGTTAGGAGCCCCATTACACCCCCTACATGTGCACAGGTTAGGAGCCCCATTACACCCCCTACATGTGTACAGGTTAGGAGCCCCATTACACACCCACAAATGTAATTGTTTTCAGATGACATGGGAATTCACAGCATATTACACTGAAGGAGTGATTAATGTGCTCCTAAGGTTTTTCTCATATTTATATTCATGTAGACTGACTACCACTAACTGTAATAGAGACCTTGAAACTTCCAGGATAGAAACAGTTTACAAGTTTGAAATTGTCTCAGGGTAGACATAAGTGTGATGTGTGACCCATTGATGACTGTACCCTGTCACCTTGTCCTGATACTAAACAACACGAACATTGGTTCTGCCACATAATCATGTTGTTAAAACAGGTGATTTTATTGTGTGTTTTGTTGTGTTTGATGTGAATTTGTTGATAAGACTGACAAAGAGCAGATTATAACTTAAATCTACCATCACAGTTGTTAAAGCTTAACTACTAGTGAGATGAAAGTCAAACAGCTGTAGACTGATGCTGGAAATGATGAAGACAGGTGAGAGTGGTACAAAACAACCCTGAGGCAAATATAGTACCAACCCTCAGTGTGCATCACAGACAATAAGTCTGACGACCACGCAAGCATCAGAGACGATGAAACTGACAACCAGGCAAACATCAGACACAATGAAACTGACAACCAGGCAAGCATCATAGACAATGAAACTGACAACCAGGCAAGCATCAGAGAAAATGACACTGACAACCAGGCCAGCATCAGAGACAATGAAACTGACAACCAGACAGGCATCATAGACAATGAAACTGACAACCAGGCAAGCATCAGACACAATTTAACTGACAACCAGGCCAGCATCATAGACAATGAAACTGACAACCAGGCCAGCATCAGACACAATTTAACTGACAACCAGGCCAGCATCAGACACAATTTAACTGACAACCAGGCAAGCATCAGACACAATGAAACAGACAACCAGGCCAGCATCAGACACAATGAAACTGACAACCAGGCCAGCATCAGAGACAATGACACTTACAACCAGGCAATCATCAGAGACAATGACACTGACAACCAGGCCAGCATCATAGACAATGAAACTGACAACCAGGCCAGCATCAGAGACAATGACACTGACAACCAGGCCAGCATCATAGACAATGACACTGACAACCAGGCAAACATCAGACACAATTTAACTGACAACCAGGCAAGCATCAGAGACGATGAAACTGACAACCAGGCCAGCATCAGAGACAATGAAACTGACAACCAGACAGGCATCATAGACAATGAAACTGACAACCAGGCAAGCATCAGAGACAATGAAACAGACAACCAGGCCAGCGTCAGACACAATGAAACTGACAACCAGGCAAGCATCAGACACAATGAAACAGACAACCAGGCCAGCGTCAGACACAATGAAACTGACAACCAGGCAAGCATCAGAGACAATGACACTTACAACCAGGCCAGCATCATAGACAATGAAACTGACAACCAGGCAAGCATCAGACACAATGAAACAGACAACCAGGCCAGCGTCAGACACAATGAAACTGACAACCAGGCAAGCATCAGAGACAATGACACTTACAACCAGGCCAGCATCAGAGACAATGAAACTGACAACCAGGCAAGCATCAGACACAATTTAACTGACAACCAGGCCAGCATCAGACACAATTTAACTGACAACCAGGCCAGCGTCAGACACAATGAAACTGACAACCAGGCAAGCATCAGACACAATGAAACAGACAACCAGGCCAGCATCAGAGACAATGACACTGACAACCAGGCCAGCATCAGAGACAATGACACTGACAACCAGGCCAGCATCAGACACAATTTAACTGACAACCAGGCCAGCATCAGACACAATTTAACTGACAACCAGGCCAGCATCAGACACAATTTAACTGACAACCAGGCCAGCATCAGACACAATTTAACTGACAACCAGACAGGCATCTGACACAATTTAACTGACAACCAGGCCAGCATCAGAGACAATGACACTGACAACCAGGCCAGCATCAGACACAATTTAACTGACAACCAGGCCAGCATCAGACACAATTTAACTGACAACCAGGCCAGCATCAGACACAATTTAACTGACAACCAGGCTAGCATCATAGACAATTCTGATAAGCTGTGGTTGGTAAATACACATGGTATCTCCATGTCTCTTCGTATGTCTAACCTGTAAGTGATTATCAGTGCAACACTTATTCAGTAAGTACATCCTGGACACAACCACTGGTCAAAACATCCAGAGGGAATCACAGGATTACTATAATGATGATCAGCAATGGATAGTCAGGCACAGGGGGACTCATTACAGATAGCAACTGACCACTAGGGGAGACATTACTTCACAGACTGACCATTTGGGAACATCAGTACAAGACTGACTGAGGGACACCAACACAAAACTGACCACTAAGTGACACCCACACAAACTTGACAATGACCAACAGAAAAGTGACCACTGATGGTAACCAAAAAAGACTCATCAATGAGGAAAACAAACAAAGACTCACTTGTGAGGGACACCACTTGGAGACTTAGACAGACTGATCTAACTGAGGGAAGCTAGAAATGGACAGACTGATCTGAGGGAAGCTAGAAATGGACAGACTGATCTAACTGAGGGAAGCTAGAAATGGACAGACTGATCTAACTGAGGGAAGCTAGAAATGGACAGAATGATCTAACTGAGGGAAGCTAGAAATGGACAGACTGATCTAACTGAGGGAAGCTAGAAATGGACAGACTGATCTAACTGAGGGAAGCTAGAAATGGACAGACTGATCTAACTGAGGGAAGCTAGAAATGAACAGACTGATCTAACTGAGGGACGCTAGAAATGGACAGACTGATCTAACTGAGGGAAGCTAGAAATGGACAGACTGATCTGAGGGAAGCTAGAAATGGACAGACTGATCTAACTGAGGGAAGCTAGAAATGGACAGACTGATCTAACTGAGGGACACTAGAAATGGACAGACTGATCTAACTGAGGGAAGCTAGAAATGGACAGACTGATCTAACTGAGGGAAGCTAGAAATGGACAGACTGATCTAACTGAGGGACGCTAGAAATGGACAGACTGATCTAACTGAGGGACGCTAGAAATGGACAGACTGATCTAACTGAGGGAAGCTAGAAATGGACAGACTGATCTGAGGGAAGCTAGAAATGGACAGACTGATCTAACTGAGGGAAGCTAGAAATGGACAGACTGATCTGAGGGAAGCTAGAAATGGACAGACTGATCTAACTGAGGGAAGCTAGAAATGGACAGACTGATCTGAGGGAAGCTAGAAATGGAAAGACTGATCTAACTGAGGGAAGCTAGAAATGGACAGACTGATCTAACTGAGGGAAGCTAGAAATGGACAGACTGATCTAACTGAGGGAAGCTAGAAATGGACAGACTGATCTAACTGAGGGAAGCTAGAAATGGACAGACTGATCTAACTGAGGGAAGCTAGAAATGGACAGACTGATCTAACTGAGGGAAGCTAGAAATAGACTGACAACTGATGGAGACTTAAGACAGATTGACATAACTCCAGGAAGCTAGAAACAGACTGACCACTTAGGGAGATCAAGAAACAAGAGGCATGCCACAAATTAATGAATATGGTTTGAATCAGCAGATACTACCACGCCAAAGTGAGTAAACAAACAAATAAGTTCCCTGACCCTGATCAGTGTTGTGTCTGGAGAAATGATTGGACATATATACACAGCTGACTCTGTGGTGAACATAAACCGTCTGACCCTGGACTGACCACCAGAGAATGCTGATACAATCTATATTGCACTATAATGATCAGCAACCAACCAGAGTTCTTTCCGTTACATCTACAATAGGAACATTTCAGCTATAACGCCATATTTACCTGACAACAACCCTATGTGTGGTAACAACCCTATGTGTGGTAATAACCCTATGTGTGGTAACAACCCTATGTGTGGTAATAACCCTATGTGTGGTAACAACCGTATGTGTGGTAGCAACCGTATGTGTGGTAACAACCCTATGTGTGGTAACAACCCTATGCTTGTTAACAACCCTATGTGTGGTAACAACCCGATGTGTGGTAACCACCTTATGTGTTGTAACAACCCTATGTGTGGTGTGTGGTGTGTGGTAACAACCCTATGTGTGGTTAACACCCTATGTGTGGTGACCACCTTATGTGTTGTAACAACCCTATGTGTGGTGTGTGGTGTGTGGTAACAACCCTATGTGTTGTAACAACCCTATGTGTGGTGTGTGGTAACAACCCGTCCCTTTTTAGGAATAATCTTTACAACAACAAACAAAAGTCAATTCATTGTCTTGAAATTTGTCTACCCCTAACATGTCATGGTCAAATTCAAACTTTGAGGGGACACATCAGGGATCAGGGAGAACCGTCAGACATGTAAGAGAACCGTCGGACATGGGAGAGAACCGTCGGACATGCGAGAGAACCGTCAAACATGCGAGAGAACCGTCGGACATGCGAGAGAACCGTCAAACATGCGAGAGAACCGTCGGACATGGGAGAGAACCGTCGGACATGCGAGAGAACCGTCGGACATGTAAGAGAACCGTCAGACATGCGAGAGAACCGTCAAACATGCGAGAGAACCGTCAGACATGCGAGAGAACCGTCAGACATCAGGAAATCAAAACACATTCAGACAGGTGACATCAGGAAATCAAAACATAGTGAGACAGATGACATCAAGAATTAAAACCATGGGTAGAAAAGTGACATCGGGAATTAAAAACGCATCTCTGGGGAGAGCTCTCATGGAATTACACAATGCTAGAATTATAACATACCACATACTCGGAGTCTTGATGATACCTATGTGTTTCTATAGCTGGTAGCTATCATAAACTGCTAATATACTTCACAGTACATAGATAACTTTGTCTGGAAAGTGTATGAAATTCCTATAACATGGACCTGTGTAGACTCTCCATGTAGTTGTTTACACCTACTGTATCAACTGTACTCCATAGACTATAGTATAACAGTGGTAATACTATCCTACTAATGCTATGTAGGTCCTATACTACAGATACTACAGCTGAGATGCATACCAGATTACTGAGCCTGGAAACACTCTCTGTTGTGTTAAATTATCCATGTAATGCTTTAGACTGCACATCATTTCAGTAGCCCTGGCATAAAATTTACACCAAATAACCTACCTTCTTCACACAAAATCCTGGGTTACATGTCTCCACACTTAATGTTAGTATAGCGGTTCCCTGTCACACACTCCTCCACACACCTCCTGTGACTCACACACGTCTTAATTAACCAACCTTCAAAATTAATGCTTACATTCTGTTACGTTTATGCTTCCATTACAAATGGATCGTCTCATTGTATAACTCAAGGGAGGACCAGGTTTGGATCAATATTTCACAACATTGAGCTGTCTCAGCAACCCAAACACAACTGTTGCCACACCCTGGGAGTGTTTACCAGGTTATCATGGTTCTACATCAGGAGCAGGTAAACAACACACCCTGGGAGTGCTTGCCAGATTATCATGGCTTTACATCAGGAGCAGGTAAACAACACACCCTGGGAGTGTTTACCAGATTATCATGGCTCTACATCAGGAGCAGGTAAACAACACACCCTGGGAGTGTTTACCAGGTTATCATGGTTCTACATCAGGAGCAGGTAAACAACACACCCTGGGAGTGCTTACCAGATTATCATGGCTTTACATCAGGAGCAGGTAAACAACACACCCTGGGAGTGTTTACCAGATTATCATGGTTCTACATCAGGAGCAGGTAAACAACACACCCTGGGAGTGCTTACCAGATTATCATGGCTCTACATCAGGAGCAGGTAAACAACACACCCTGGGAGTGTTTACCAGATTATCATGGCTCTACATCAGGAGCTGGTAAACAACACACCCTGGGAGTACTTACCAGATTATCATGACTCTACATCAGGAGCTGGTAAACAACACATCCTGGGAGTGCTACAACACACCCTGGGAGTGCTTACCAGGTTACCATGGCTCTACATCAGGAGCTGGTAAACAACACACCCTGGGAGTACTTACCAGATTATCATGACTCTACATCAGGAGCAGGTAAACAACACACCCAGGGAGTGCTTACCAGGTTATCATGGCTCTACATCAGGAGCTGGTAAACAACACACCCTGGGAGTACTTACCAGATTATCATGACTCTACATCAGGAGTAGGTAAACAACACACCCTGGGGGTGCTACAACACACCCTGGGAGTGTTTACCAGGTTATCATGGCTCTACATCAGGAGCAGGTAAACAACACACCCTGGGAGTGCTTACCAGGTTACCATCAGCCCATATCAGAAATCCTAGTCAGGGATGCTCCATTATGATCAATACTTGAAATAACTGTAGATTAATTGTAATCTTGATATCAGGAGTTTATGTCACCAGTATTGTGACAGCGTGATCACTCCTCCCCTACAGTGATGAGAGTCTCTATGACAGTGTGATCACTCCCCTACAGTGATGAGAGTCTCTGTGACAGTGTGATCATTCCCCTACAGTGGTGAGAGTCTCTGTGACAGTGTGATCACTCCCCTACAGTGATGAGTCTCTGTGACAGTGTGATCACTCCCCTACAGTGATGAGAGTCTCTGTGACAGTGTGATCACTCCCCTACAGTGATGAGAGTCTCTGTGACAGTGTGATCACTCCCCTACAGTGATGAGAGTCTCTGTGACAGTGTGATCACTCCTCTACAGTGATGAGAGTCTCTATGACAGTGTGATCACTCCCCTACAGTGATGAGAGTCTCTATGACAGTGTGATCACTCCCCTACAGTGATGAGAGTCTCTGTGACAGTGTGATCATTCCCCTACAGTGATGAGTCTCTGTGACAGTGTGATCACTCCCCTACAGTGATGAGAGTCTCTGTGACAGTGTGATCATTCCC